GTTTTCCAAGGAGCAACTGGTGCGTCTGAAATGCCAACCTCATAGTTTGAAGTCCAGTGCTGATCCTATAGTTCCACAAGTTAGGAATTTAAAATTCTAGAATTTTATTATAGAATTTACAGTACTCTCTGTGTGAGAGGCGCATTTTGAAAGGGTGTCATCAGACAGTGAGGGTGGGCACTGGCTCAGGGAACAGCCCTGGCAATCAAATTGTAAGGGTCAAACAGGATGATTGGAATGAATATCACTGTGTACTGTATGTGCAAAAAATGTTGCAATGGAAAGTGAGTTGTTTCTAGATGCACATATAAGAGGGTAAATAAAAAAGTACTGCTACAAAACCTTGGAAACTTTCATTAAAAATATCAAAATGGAAAGATATTGTTTCTCCAACTAGGTCTATATACTCCTGAAGGCAGTCTTCCTGAGTGACCCTGTAGGATCAACACTGGATTGATGGTTTGGTAGTTCAAACTCGCAAGCTGCTCCTCAGAAACCCTACATGGTCGCTATGAGTTGGGAATTGGAACCAACTTGACATCACTTAATAACTACAACCCTTCCCGGAAGAATTCTGCACTCTTTGATTTACACCACGTCAAAGCAGCAGTTGTGGCATCCTCAAGAGGCTCAAGTCGTGTTCCTTTTCAACGTTTTTGGAGCTGACAGAACAAAAAGAAGTCAGAAGAGGCAAGATCAAGGCTGGAGAGGGGATGGGGTAAGGTTTCCCAATAAAACTCTTGTAGGACAACCCTTGCTGCCCTCGAAGAATGAGCAGGTGCCTTGTCATGATGGAAAACAATTCCTGGGCACAAATTTCTGACAGTATTCTTACCAATGTAGCTCCCATTTTCTTAAAACTTCTTCATAATAAGCGTCCCCCAATCATCCTGTGTACCTTGAGACAATCTAATAAGCAGATCTCTTTAGAATCAATAAAAACAATCTCCATAACCTTCTGAGCTGACCCCTCTGCCTTGAATTGAACTGTCCCAGCAGATCTCCTCACTTACAAGGCTCAGACAAGTGTATGACAGAGAGCTTGTCTGCAGCCCTCCACAGATCGCAGAGACAGGATTTAGAACAAACGCGTGTATATACGAATTGGAACCACAGTAGCAGTACTCACTGAGTTACACTCCTCATATATGTATGAATGTATGTATATGTACACACACACATATGAGGGGGCTTAAAGATTTACACCCTTGGAAACCCTGTACAGGGTCGCTATGGGTCGGACCCGACTCGATGGCACTTAACAACAACAACAACAAACAAATTTTCATGGAAAAACTCCATTATCTTTTCCTTCCATTTTCCCATGACCATTGTGAAGGCCCCCACATACATGTGTGTGTGTGTTTGTTGTTACTCGCTGTCATGGAGCTGACTCCACCTCTTGGCGACCCCATGTGTATAGAGTGCAGCTGTGTTTCACGGGCTTTCCCTGTCTCCTGAGGTGCCTCTGAGTGCTTTTGGTCAAGTGCTTAACCATTTGCGCCACCCAAGGGCTGTGTGTGCATGTGTTTACACAATGAAAATGTATTTTAAAAAAAGGAGCCACACCAGTAGCTCCGCCATCCAGAATAGAGAGTTTTATGGGAAAAGGTCCACATGTCAGACTGAGCATAACAAGGATTTCTATGCAGGTACCCAGATGAATCTGGGGAGGTAGAACCTTACTGCTACCTAGGAGGTCTTCTGTGTTGACCTCCCAGCCCTGCAATTCTGTGATTCTCTGATCATAACAAAATTCTGGATTGGCAATAACATGCAGGGAGAAATGGATCAAAGGAAAACAGATCCTTGCCCGAGGCACTTGCTAGAAGTAGGCTGCCTCATTGTTCTCTCCAGTGGTGGCTGATGGATCAGAGCTCTGACCACAAAGTTAGCAGCCCAATGCTTAATCCACAGTGCCACCGTTAGTAATTGGTAATCTTCTCCACTCGAAGATTTCCTCTTTAATTTTTCTTTCTTCTTCACAGTGTAGTTTATAAATAATTTGTGATCTCAGCTTTCAAGGAATTTATTTCATCATCTCAACTAAGTCATTGCTTTTGTAGATGGGCTGGCCCAAGGCCATAGCATCAGTTTTAAAAAAAAAACCTGAAAAACGAGGTTTGGGGTGAAATGCTGGCTCCAAGTGTTTCAGTCTAGTTCTAAGGAGACCCTGTCTAGCTCTAAGGAGGCCTTGGGGAGTTTGCCTGCATAGTAGAAAGAGCAAGGGCTCTGAAATCAGATAGAACCAAATTCTGACTCAAGCCCCACAGTCTGCTAGCCATGTGAACTGGTTCAAGTTACTTAATTTCTCTGAACCTCAACTTCAATAGGATTAAAAGTGAATAATAATACTTGCAGCTATGTGGCATGCATGCCTGGGAAGTAGCTAAGGAGGTCTGGTGGCACTGTGGGCTAGCAGGCTTTGGGTAGCTAACCACAAGGTTGGCAGTTCAAATCCACCTGATACTCTTCAGGAGAAAGACGAAGTTGTATGCTCCTGTGAAGTTTTAAAATCTCAGAAACCGTATCAGAAATTGGAATCAGCTCAATTGGGCAAATAGATGACACTCAATTACTGCATCAATTAATTTGGCGGTGACTACTGTCCCTATTCCCCCCTCCCCGCCCCAACACACACACATGCACACACATGCACACACACACAGCATTCCATGGCACATTTCCATGGGCTGTGAGTTTCAAGAGGTCAGGGGTCACTTCTGCTTATTCACAGATACATAGCCAGATCCCAAAACACAGCTAACATTCTCGTTAAATACCTGAAGAACTCATTAACTAGTTGACACCCCTCCCAGAACCCACTGAGGCAAATATCATTATGATCTTCTCTTTAGAGCAGAGATGAATCAGGATTTCACATGTGGAAGGAGGATTTGAACCCAAATCTACCGATTCCCAAGTCTTTTCTCTTAGCCATCCCCTTTCATGTAGAAAAAAATATTTCATGGTGTACTTATACTTTTTACACCATGACTTCACCAATCATCCTTTAAACATGGACACCAATCTTCCCACTCCCATACCCTAAAGATACTCCGCTTTCCAGAGCTGGGAAGCAAGCAGCCCAGTTACAGGAAGACGCCCGCTGGAACTTGGATGGAAATGAATAGCCCAGGTCTGAGCTGCTCATTCCTTTGGAAGGTTAACCTTTAAGAACTCTTGGATTCACATTTAGCTATGAAGACACTCAGTTGAATAAATTAGCATACCAAATAGTGGAAGCATTAAAAATGCAAATGATGTCTTCAAATGGCCTGATGACCTGCCAGGAGAAGCATCCAGGACCAAGAGTTCTGGCCTAATAGTTGTAAAGTGCTCACAAAATGCTAAGGCTTTTCTCATCATCTCCCAGAATCTGTGGGAGGAAAGAAGCCTAGTCCCTGAAATTCCCCTCTTAGAGGGTTGCGATTCAGAGCCGCTTGACTTGGAGATACACAAAAAGAGAAGGGTCTATAGCTTACATCCTATGTCCTATTGTAAAGTGAGACCTCAAGAACTTTCTGCAGGGCCATTCAACATTAGCTCAGAATGTATATATTTTTAAAAACGTACATTTAGAAGATTCAGGGCTAAATCATCACTTTTAAAAACAAACAGCGAAGTCAGTATCACCGGCATTTCCCCAACGGTACCTAGATCTTGGAGGCCAACGCAGTCAAACATCAGGCCAGCATGCACTCCGTCCTCTTTCTGCATGGCCCTGGGAGGGCCGGGTGACATTCCTACTGCCACATCAGCACCCCGAGTGGCAGGGAGGTCTTCAGGCCAGCACCAGCATGACCACTCCCCGAGGTACTAGGTGCTGGCTATGTGTCATCCTGCCAAGTCAGGGGGCAGGTGCCAGGTAACAATGGGCCCCAAGCTAAAAGCCCCAACTGCTCATAGGTGATTGGTTTCCATGGTAACAATGATGGTTTCTAACTGCTCTCCTGGGAGTGGAGAATGGGGGGAGGATCTTTTTGCAAGAGAAAGAAGAGAATATGTAGTGTCAACCATGAGCCAAAGAGCCTTCCTATGAGAACACTTCTGTGTTTGGGAGATTCACTGATGAATTCTCACAACCACTTGGAGGGATTTATTCTCACCCCCACTTAATAGAAGAAGAGACTGAGAGTCAATTAGGCTAACTGGCTGACTGAGGGTCACACAACATACACAGGATGGAATACTATGTAGTGTTGAAGTATAAACGATGGCTCTAAGAGATACCTCAGAACATGAATGGACCCTTAGGACAAGATGTTGAGGAAATCCACCAATCACCAAAGGTCAAACATGGTGTGGACTGCTACTATAAAAAGTCACAGAATGATACGGAGTGATGGAGCAGCTGGGGACTTTAGATCCAGAGAGGGAGAGGGGCTGTGTGCTGACGACTGGGGGGGTAGGCTTGTAGTGTATATCCTCTGGTTGGTTGTTGATGCATGGAGGGGATTGTAACCGTGGCAATGAAACAATATATGATAGAATGAATGTAAAACTAATATTCTTCCATGTAAACTATCATATAATTCACAATAAAACATAAAAAAAAAAAAAGTCACAGAAGGTTACATTCTATAGTGGCTGAGGGTGGGAGGGGATGGAAGGCGAATTACTAACTAGAGGGTAGACATATATGAGGGGGCTTTAAAAAACAGAACTCCATTGTCTTTTCATTCCATTTTTCCACACTTTCTAAAGCTCCCTTGTATTATCTTGGATGAAGGGGACGTCAGTATTAAAAAGAAAAACAAAACAGAATCTGAGTCTTCTGCTAGGATCCCTATTCCTTCCACTGGCCACCTTGCCCTGAGCAGACACCAGTAGAAGGCATGCCCTTCATATCAACTCCCCCACAACCTGTGGTGCATGGTCTGGCCCCAATCAGCTTCATGGCATCTAGAAAAACCCTTGCTGTCCAGAGAAGAGGCAGGGAGCGAACTGCAAGGGCAGTCCTGCCAGAGAGATGGCAGAAGGGCCCAGGCACTACTTACACGCTTGCGTGTGGCTTCTTTTTGGAGAAATCACAAGCCAGACCGAGATCTGATATCCTCACGTGACCATTTTCATCTAGCAAGATATTTGCGGGCTGTGGAGGAAGAGAGAAGAGTCCTCAAAATGTCACAGGGAGCTCTGAGGACATCTAAAGTGACAGACATTTGATAACGGTTTGTTGTTTTGTCAGTTTGTTCCTCAATAGTCATTATCACTTAAACATTGGGCTGCTCACCATGAGGTTGGCAGCTCAAACCCACCAGCCACTCCACGGGAAAAAAGATGAAGCCATCTGGTTCCAGGAAGACTGGCATCCTGGGAAACCCTAGGAAGCAGTTCTACTCTGTGAGTTGGAGTCTACTGGTGGGTAAAGTTTTCATCAAAGGAAGGTGGTATCTTGGGGCTGCTCTCAGCAAGTGTGGTCATGACAGAGGCAGAGCTGAGACACAGAGGCAGTGAGGCGAGAGGCTTGTGGTCACAGTTCATTCCTCTTATTGGACAAGAGATGCAATGTACAGAGCAGCACGGCTCTCTCTCCACACAGGGCGTGAGTCAACCCCGCTGCATGAGCATCAAGGACTTTTGATTAGGGGACTAAAAGAGTAGAACAGAAAGGCATCTTGAAAGAATGCACAAATTACTGATCTAAGAAATCAAAATATTCCATAAGATCTTACTTTTTCCTCATAAATGTCAAAATCAACACTCCAACTAAAATCAAACTCACTGCTGTGGAGGCAGTTCAACTCATAGTGACTCTAGGACAAAGTTGAACTGCTCCCTAGGTTTTCTGATGCCGTCAATCTTTATGGGAGTAGATAGCCTTGTCTTTCTCCCAAGAAGCGGCTGGTGGGTTCGAACCACCAACCCTGTGGTTCCCAACTCCTAACCTACTGTACTACCAGGAGAAATGACCCAAAGTGATTCTGACCACAACTCTGATAACGTGTGTCCACATTAAGATCCGATTTAGTCAGCATGACCATGGAAAAACAAAGAACCTTTCCCCAACATACACTGAGTTACAGGTGTCTTAAGTATGTTTTTCTGCTGGAGATAAATTATTGTTTCGCTTGAAGTAAAAAATGATGGGCTGCTATTATCAAATGGAAGCATGAATAATCATGAATGACTAGAATTAGATCTGAATGGAACTTAGATAATGCCAGTACCTACTAAATAGCTTAGCAAACAAAAACACAGCATTAAAAGGATTAGAAACTGGTTATAGATTTAGATTGGAATGTATTACAATAGCACTCCATGGGCCTTTAGTGTGTAGTTTTTCTTCTGCACATCTCACACAAGGAAATAAATGTCAGGAACTAACTGATGTCTCATTATTTCTAGTCCCATGAAAGTACATTTCTTTTCTTCTTGATGCTCCTACAAAAACCTATGGGGCAATTCTTCCTAATTACAGAAACACTTTTAAGATTATAAGACATGCTATGATTTCAAAAGAGATACCCTAAGATAATCAAAGATTTTTTTAAATTAAATTTTTAGATTCTGAGTGGTAACCTTGAAAAGATAACAGAAACATCACGGCTCCTAAGAGAAAGAATGTGATCTATACACTCCAATGCATCAATGTGGGATCATCCAAGCTAGAATCTGCCACAGCAAGAATCTGAAATGCATGCACAGGAGTCCTCTCATGCTTTGGGGAAAGCATCACTCTTCATCATTTTTTTTGTTATTATTATCTACACAGTTATAGATTTGCATAATTATTTCTATAATGTGTCCTGTCCTCTTTTTTCGCTAGCTGTTGTAAAGCACTGCTAGTTGAGAGTCACCAGTAAACATACTGAGTCAGCACCACGTAGGACCCAGAACCAAGTTCCATGTTGGCCTGGAATGGAAAACCTTACCAGAGCCCTATTTCATCATGTCAACTCCAGGGAGCTTTTAAAGAGCATAGGAAGGAAAACCTACATCTAGCAGTTGGGGGCTGTGTCGGTTGAGTGCCTGAAAGTCTATGAATGGCTCTCAAGGTCATCTCACTATGATAAGAGTGACACTGAGAAGGCCTTTTGAGGAACATTTTGTAGGCTGACCACAACTCCTCCCCAGTTGCCTTGCCTCAGGAGACCTGACTGGGCCATCTCTTGGACCACCAGTTTATGGTGGTGTTAATTGCTATGGGCAGCCTTATGCGTGCTCTTTTCATGTTCATCCAACACCAAACCATGGTCCAGTCAGTTGCCACTGCCATCGAATTGATTTTGATTCATAGTGACCCTGTGTAGGGTTTCTGAGGCTGTAAATCTTTAGGGGAGCAGACAGCTTCATCTTTCTCCTGAGGTGCGGTTGGTGAGTATGAACAGGCGACCTTGGGGTTATCCATCCAGTGCTTATCCGACAGTACCACATGGCTCCCTCCTTAAGTGAATTATAACTATAAAATGTTGTTGTTTGTTGTTAAGTGCCTGTTTTAGCATTTCCAAGGAGTGGCTGGTGGGTTTGAACCACCAACCTTGCAGTGAGCAGTCCAGTGTTTATCTTAGGATGCCCAAAACCCCCTACCCAATTTTTTGTTAATGAATCAATTAAAAGTGTAGATTTGGTGCTAGGCTCTTTGATTATGATGAGAAGTTGTATGGACGAAGGAGCCCTGGTGGTGTGTGGGTTAAGTGGTGATCCATTAACTGCAAAGTTGGTGGTTAAAACCCACCAGTTGCTCTGTGAGAGAATGGTGGGGCAGTCTGCTTCCAAAAAGACTGGCAATCTTGGACACTCTGAGGAGCAGTTCTTCTCTGTCCTAGAGGGTCCTTACGAGTTGGAAATGACTTTAAGGCAGTGGATATTTTAGAGGGGAGATTTTAGGATGGACAGGGGTCCTGCCCCTCCTACCCCTGGAGTTAGAATCTCAACAGAGGAGCTATTATCACAGGGCTGAGACCAGGGCCAGCAGCAGAGACTCTGAAAGAAGATTGTCCCACAGCCCCGGTCTGTCAGCAGCAGGAGTCCCTGAGGTCACCTACCTTCAAATCTCTGTACACAACGAAGCGACTGTGCATGTGCTCCAGCCCTAGGATGATTTCAGTGGCATAAAACCGCATCTCCTTCTCAGAAAACACGCCATGCTGGGAAAGGTGGTAATGCAGATCGCCCCCTGAAACCAGAGCAAAGGGTTTTCAGGTAAAAGGAGGAAAGATGCCGGTTGTTCCAAAGAGTTAGAACACACACACTGCAAAGGCGGAAGCCAGGCTTCAGCTTTGTCAGTACCTAGCTGTGGTTTCTGTAGTGTGAAAAGAACACAGAAATTACACAGCAAACAGAGACGTGGCGAGAACAGCCATACAACACAGCACATCAGTGTTCTCGGGATGGTAGCTCAGCCCCCGGGGAGTTACACAACCTGCTTGGATTATACTTAAGTCCTTTCTAAATCACCGAATCAACCTACGTAATAAACCAATAAATGACTTAGTAACTGGCCCCTTGGACGGACAAAATCCCAAACCTAATAAGACGGGTAGACATTTGAGGAAGCAAAGATAGTAAAAATGTAAGTGGGGAAATTCAGGTGGTGGCAATTTAGATGTCTCCAAAGAAATTCTTTCAGCTTTGCTATATGTTTGACATTTTCCATAAACAGTGATGGGAAAAGAAACTAATTGCATGGCCTCAAGTTATAGGAGCAGAGAATGCCACCCACTGATCGGGGGATTGCCTTTAAAATCGACAAGGGAAAAACATCACTGATCTACCAACATTACTGTGGGTTCAACTTTACTGCCCTTGCTTTTTCAAATCTTTTTCAAATACCTTCCCTTCCACACATGCCTCCTCTGACCCATAAAAATGACATGCATTCATATTCATGTTGTTTTGATACTCTGCTAACCTGAATATCAAAAAGAAACACTCCCAGCTCAAGCATGGCAACAATTGTGAGGCTGGCCCAGGATCGGGCAGTGTTTCGTTCTGTTGTGGGGTCGCTATGAGTCAGTACCGACTCGATGGCACCTAACAACAACAACAAAACCACATGTTTACCTTTAAAAAAAAAACAACAAACATAAATGTAGATAAAAACCTTGGGTTTTACCCTTATTTTCTCTGCTTAAAATATATCTTAATAAATTATCCCATATTTGTAAAAAAAAAAAGAAACCCTCCCACTTATTACTAAAGCCCAAAAACCAAGCCACTTGGTTTTCAAGTCGATTCCAACTCATTATGACCCTGTATAGGGTTTTCTGGAGTCCTGCTGTGGAGCTGCGGGTTAATGCGCTGGACTGCAAGGTCGGTGGTTCAAAGCTCACCAGCCATTCCTCAAAAACTCTATATCGGGGCACTATGAGTCAGAACTGACTCGATGGCACTTAAAAACCACAACATAAGGTTTCCATGGCAGTAAATCTTTATGAGAGCAGAGAGCAGCATCTTTCTCCCACAGATCAACTAGTGGATTTGAACTGCTGACTTTGTGGTTAGCTGTCCAGTGCTTACTTTACAGCAAGGAATAAATTGGGATGCTTTTCCTTGTTCTTAAGAAAGAATGAGGTGTAACCCACAAAAAATGAAGCGCATGATTCTTAAACGTACAGTTCAGTACAATTTTACATGTACATATAAACTGAAAACATATTTTCAGACATTCTTCGTTTGCTAAGCTGCTTGAGAAGATTCTGACAGGTACCGACCCTGTGTAAGCAGAGCAGAGCTGTGCTCCAGAGGGTTTCCAAGGCTGTGCCCTTTCGTAAGTAGATAACCAGGCCTGTTTCCCTAGGTGCCTCTGGGTGGGTTCACCAACATTTTGACTAGTCATCGCATGCTTAACTGTCTGTGCCACCCAGGGGCTCTGGCATTCTTACACATATATGAAGGAGACTCCAAAAAGTTTGAGGAAACATGAAACTAAAAGACAATGGAATTTCTACACGAACGTTCTAAAGTAACTGCGGACATGTGTGTGTTTGTGTATATTGTTAAGTGCTGTCAAGTTGGTTCCAACTCAGTGACCCTGTATAGGGTTTCCTAGGAGCAGCTAGTGAGTTTGAGCTACCAACCATATAGTTCAAACTGACCTTGTGGTTGAGTGCTTATCCTACAGCGCCACACCAGGATACATATTGTTGTTGTTAACTGCCATCAAGTTGGTTCCAACTCATAGTGACCCCATATAGGGTTTCTGAGAGCAGCTGGTGGGTTTTAACTGCTGACCTGGCAGTTAGCACAGTTAACAGTACAGTGCTTACCCTATAGCATCATATCAGGGCACATAAGTACATAAGTGTGTGTCTACACAGGATTTATGTATGTATGCACAAAGGTAAGTAAAAACCTATTGGTACTAGGGTCCCAGAGTCCTGGTGTGGTGCTGCAGGTTAATGCACTGGACTGCAAGGTTGTTTGAACCACAAGCTCAGTGGTTCAAGCTCACCAGCCACTCCTTGGAAACCCTGTACAGAATCGCTATGAGTTGGACCGGACTTGATAGCACTTAACAACAACAAAATAGTGACCCTATTGCCCTTCCTGGTCAGTACTTCACCCAAAGTCCTCTCATACTCTAGCCTGATGTGTCTCACCTTTGGTAAGTTTTGCCTATCCTGACATGTGTCTAGACATGGCTGAGAAATCTCTTTATGCTGCTGGACAGATCAAGTTTTAAACAGAACACTCAAAATATAACAAAATGCCCAATGAACTGGGCATTTGATTTGTCCAACTGTACGCCTTTTTAGTTCAGCTCTTGTTAATAAAAATAACTGGAAGACTGTTCTCATTTTTCAGTGCCGTGGAGTTGGTTCCTACTCATAGCAACCCTGTATAGAGTTTCCAAAGAGCAGCTGGTAGATTTGAACTTCTGACCTTGTGGTTCGCAGTCCAGTGCTTATCCTACAGCATCACACCAGGAGTCCAGTGTGAAGATAAGATATACCAGGCCACTTACTTATATTAGAAAATAACTTTTCTAGATGAAAATTTCCCAACATGCTCAGGATCATGGTTCTTGAATCAATGTCCTGTACTGTAGGTTAATAAATATCTATGTGGACCCATAGTACTTCAAACCTGGCTTTTCAATACGTTTTTATCTTTGGTCTATATTGTTTATGAAGCATTTAATTCTTAAATATTGAAGGCCAAAAAGCAAGTGCATTAAAGATCTTAGCCAGCTACAATCCTGAAAATCAAATTCACTGTAAGCATTTTATAAAAAATCTTTTGCAGGAAATGTAACTTACTAGGCCAGAGGGAAATCATATCCAGCATTGAAAACTAAATTTTAATAGAAAATTTGAGAATAAATGGCTTCCCCCAAACTTTAATGGGAACTCAATTATCTGAGCTCTGGTAGTGTAGTGGTTACAAACCGGGCTGCTAATCTCAGTCAGCAGTTCGAAACTACCAGCTGTTCCGTGGGAGAAAGATGAGGTTTTCTGCTCCTGTAAAGATTTATAGCCTTAGAAACTCTGTACAGAGTCACTATGAGTCGGAACCAACTCCACGGCACATAACAACAACAACAACAACAAATTATCTGAAAGATCTCAAAATCGCCAGTGTGTTTAGATGAATGCACACTAAGACAGAACCTCATGGCAGGGTCTTAGAACACATTCCGACTTCCTCTGTTTTGCTTACCGTTCATCAGATCCAGGATGAAGCAGAGTTTATCTGGCGTGTGGAAGGCATAGGTCATACAGACAATGAAAGGACAATCCTAGAGATGAAAAACAAAAGTTTATTTAAAAAAAGACAAAAGTCTTCCCACGAAGGATATCTACCATTGACCACCAGGCCGCACAGGCAACACAGCTTCCTGAATGGGGTTCCCACAAGCTCTTGTTCCTGGTCTGAGGAGCACCCTATCAGCATCAGAGGAGTGGTTGGAACCAGGACTTCATCAAACCAGAATCTTTCTCAGCTTAGGTTGTCAACTGCCTCACTTCACCATAGGGACAGACAGATCTTCTGAGGGGTATATGTAAACAAGAAAGTACATGACACTTCCAGCAAACGCAACTGACATCAAGTTATTCTGACGCTATGGGACACAGCAGAACTGCTTCCTAGGGTTTCTGAGGCTGAAAATCTGCAGGGAAGCAGCCAGCCTCATCTTTCTCCTACTGAGCAGTTGAGGGGTTTGAACCATCAACCTTTCAGTTAACAGCCCGATGCATATCCACTGTGCTACCAGGGGTCCTTCTGACTCTTGCACAGACAGTTCTGTACTTAAACATTCTGCCGTTAAGATAGGACAGGCGATTGAGATTTAGAATCACAGGCTGTTGGAAGAGGAAGAGCTTGTAAAAATATCATGTGGCTCAACTTCTTTATTTCAAGGAAAGGAAACTGAGGCCCCCAAAAGGGAAGTGAATCGTCTGAGGTGTCAAGAAAATTTGGTAGCTGGCTAAGACTCAAACCCCATGTCTGTCTCCTGACCCCTCCCCAAGTTCCCCCCAACACATTATGCCACTCACAACGGTGAGGCTTCTCTGGTGATATAAAACATGCAAGGGGCGAGATCCAGTGACCCCAGCAGAATGCATTTGCTACAAGCCCTCATCTCTCATGGTGCCAAGCACTGGAGATAGTCCAGAACACAAACAATGCTATGCTAAGTGTATAGTTACAAGACCAATGTGTTTAACAGATTCTACACAACAGGGAAATAAGAGCTGGCAGCCTACTGGAGACAAGCCTTTAAATTAAGCACTGCAGCAAGGAACTGTTTTCTTGGCGTTTCTTCTGAGACTGAACAAAACAGCATTCTGTAGAAATGCTTTATAAAACTGTGATGAAAGAGGAACATGAAAAATTCCCCTTAAGTCTCTACACAGCAGTCAAACCATCTTCTCAAACTGACAGACTTATTGTGTCTTCTCCCTACTTAGAACATTTCACTATTTCTAACAGCCTTTAAGGACTTTTTAAAGACTTTCTATTGGTTTAGAAAGCTCCTTCTGATCTGATCTGGCTACATACAGTCTGTCTGTCTCTCCAGTTCCATCTTGTGCTCCAACTCTCGGCCCTTCTTTCAACCTCAACTCTGTCAATCTCAGAATCAGATGCACGTTGCTCTGGTCCCGGCCCGTTGCTTGTGTCCTACTGTGGAACACTGGGTGACAATACTCTACCCTGTCCAGGTCCCTCCCAGCGCTGTGTGCCTATCTCTCCAGAGCCTGCCGTATGTCTCGGTGGCCTATACATTTCTGAAATGATCTGAGGGACATCAGCTTCTCCTGCTCTATGCAGGTCTAGAACAACAGGAATCAGAGTCAAGTCTGGAGGTCCACAGCAGGCAAGTTTGGGGGTAGCCAGGAGTCAAGTTGGCAAGTTGAAGTTGTTAAGGATTTCATTATGCTTGGGTCCACATCAACACTCACAGAAACAGCAGACAGGAAATCAAACAATGTACTGTGTTGGAAAAATCAGCTGTAAAAGTTCATTTTTTTAAAGTGTTAAAAGGCAAAAGATGTCACTTAAGACTAAGGTAAGTCTGATCCACGCCGTGGCATTTTTCAATTGCTTCAAATGATGAGAAAGGAAGACCGAAGAACTGATACCTTTGAATAATGGTGTTGGCAAAGACTATTAAACATACCATGGACTGCCAGAAGAATGAACACATCTGTCTGGGGAAAAGTACAGGCAGAATATTTCTTGGATGTGAGGATGGCGAGACTTCTCGTATACTTTGGACACATCATCAGGAGGGGCCAGTCCTTGGAGAAGGACATCATACTTGGTAAATAAAGTCAGGAAACAGGAGGAAGACCCCCCGAGGAGATGGACTGACACAGTAGCTACAACAATGGCTCACACACAGCAGTGACTGTGAGGCGCAGGCAGTGCTTTGTTCTGAGGTATGTGGGGTTGCTCTGAGTCAGAACTGACTCAATGGCATAGCACCTAATGACCACAGCAGCAGACAGCAAAGTGGCTAGCATCCTCTAGGCAATCAAGAAAGGTTCAAGGCATGGATGAATACACTTCTGATAAACATTACATGACTTATTTAATGGCTTTATTGATTATTCTTTCCAGCCGTGGACACTCTCATTCTGTTTCTGAAACATACACATTTCCCTGAAGGTTAAAAAAAAAGCCCACTGCTTAATCTTACATTCCAGGAACAGAGGACCATAGGACCATCAAAGGAGAAGAACATGAGTGAAATGAAGGACTCTATCCAGAGAAGCAGTGACACCAGAGATGGAGGCAGAGATGATGACATGGAGAGAGAGAGCAGCTGAGCACTCTAGACTCATAGAAAGAGAAACGCTGTGTGCTGGCGGCCAGGAGGCAGGCTTGTAAAAACTGCTCTTTGGTAGTTTAAATGATTATATATTCCCGAGTGTTTTTGTGTACTTCCTTCCCCCAAAAAAGAAAAAATCACAGAGGAAAGAGAAGCAAATACTATTGAAGGAGGATGCATGGAGGAGATTGTAATCATAGCAGTGAAAGGATGCTCTCCCATGTAAACTATCACTTAATTCACAATAAAAATTTTAAAAAAGTTTTAAAAACCACTAATGTCAAGTTGATTCTGACTCATAGCAACCTGATAGGCAGAGGGGAGCTGCTCAATAGGGTTTCTAAGACTGTCAGCCTTTACAGGAGCAGACTGCCTCATCTTTCTCCTGGGGAACAGCAGGTGGGTTTGAACCATCAATACTGCAATTATCAGCCAAAAACCTAATTCACAGACTCAGCAGGGCTCCTTCTAAAAATTCCAGAATGAAACTGGGAATGGAACTTCTTCCACTTTGGAGGGAGAAGGAGGAAGGGAGTACAATTGAGTACAATTTGAGACTGGAAATTTTAAAAAATTAAAAAAAAACACACAAAACTTTCCACTGAAAAGAAAGCTATTTCATTTCATGCCAACACTCTAGGAAACTATGTTGATACAGGCCTATTTAAATTGTAAACTATGGATTACTAAGAAAATATAAACTGTAGCCTTTAATTGAAGTCTTGGTGTGACACTGTAGGATAAGAACTGGACTCACCAGCTGCTCCTCAGAAAACCTAGACACGGTAGCTAGGAATCAGAACCCACCCAAGACACTACTGAACAACCACAACAATTGCCTTCAATTAGTAAACACAACTCCAACTAACTTTATTTAAATCTGCTTATTAAATTATATCTTTCTTAGTTAAAAATAACAGAATAAAACAGGTTTTTTAAAATATTTTATTATGAATTATATGATAGTTTACATGGGAGAACTTTAGTTTTACATTCATT